CAAAGTACCATTTCGCAAAGTACCATTTCGCAAAGCACCATTTTGCAAAGTACCATTTCGCAAAGTACCGTTTCGTTTCATTTCGCAAAGTACCATAAGCCTACTTGGAGGCCATCATGCATATTTTTAATGGCGTCCTTTGACTTCGCCTGATCTTGTTCGAGCATTTCCACTCTGCCCTGTACCTTACACAGTTTCTCTTCTAGGCTAACAACCCCAGCGTTAATTGACTCAAGTTTTGAATTTACTGCTTCAAGACTTGAAAGAATAAGGTCAACTTTTGCACCAAGGTCGTGAGTCATTTCTATGTGCTGCGGAATTTTGTTCGCTGAAGACGACGCTAAGTAAATGTTCAAAGGCTTACCTCTGGCCCTTTTTTCTTCCGGAGACCTCAATTCATTGTTGGAGGTACTTGAATTGCTTCCACACTTTTTCCTTTTAAGATTTAAAGTAGCATTTGCCATAAAGCGTTAAAAAACTATTGAAATTGCGGAGAGCTTCAGAAACACGACTATCCGCCTAGCATGCCTCGACCCAGTCCCAATACATCTTGAGACAAACGATAATACACTTTATTATTACCTTGCTTATGTCCAGAGAAAGCTGATGCAAAAAAACTGATGAAGGCTTAAGAGTTAGCCAAAACGTCTTGCTAAAATATACAAGTCAGTGACAAAAAACGGCACTTTTATCGATTATATTATCTCCTGACTACATTTACTCAATTTTTAAAGCTGATATCACTTTGTTTGTTACAGTCTTAAAGCTTGCAAGTTCAAATGGTCTGTTTGCCAACCTGTTTTCATTGAACAAGAAATGCTACTCGTGGTAGTACTCGCAGTGTAGCCACAATGAACCCATGCCCTGTGTGACCTTGTGATTTTAACGTCGAAGGTTCAAAGCTATTATCAAACTATTCAGGCCAGTCTCTTACAGCAGGAGTATGGTATAAGCTTAAATAAGAGCATCTCATTTCAGCTCAGTTTGCGTAAGAATCCTTTGGCTCGTGGCAGCGGTGTCTCTCCCTTTTGCACTTGTAATCTGAACGTCCCAGCACTTTTCCTTCCCTAATCCCATTTCTTTGCACTTCCAACATGTTTCTCTTGTACCTTTTAGTGCACAGAAGATGACGTTTTAACTACATCTCTAATGTCACTGGGAGGCGCGGTGGCCTCATGGTTAGTGCGCTCGTCTCGTGCGCGACTTTACCTAATGTCACTAAAAATGTGCAGTATGTCACTGGATGTGCCTTGCATCTTAACTGTTAGCCCCTTAACAATCGCTAAAACTCCCTGGCAGACTGTTAAGGTAACAAGGAAGTCAAAATTAGCAATAGCATGGTAAAGGCTAACTGCTTTCTTAGTTGAATCTGCATTCCAACTTCTTTCTGCATTTGCTTTGATGGTTTCCAGTGTTGCAACGATGGCTTCATAAAGCTCCAGGAAGACCTCCAAACCATCTATACACTGAATCCAGCGGGTCTTACGAACATCAAGGAGCTTGTGATGGCGGGATTTAGGACAGATGTCTGTCACTTTCTGGACAAGGAGAGCTTCTTTCTTCAGAGAGTACTCAAAGGATCTATTTACCTCTCCAATGGTATCAAACATATTTTGAACATTCTGCATCTTGCACGCACTCACAACAGAGAGGTTTAGGTGGTGAGCCATACAATGAGTGTAGATAACCTTTGGATATTGCCCTCTGACAATGGCTGCTGCACCATTACAAGATCCTGACATGTTGCCTGCACCGTCATAACACTGTCCCTTGCAGTAATCCATAGACAAACCAAGTTCTTGAACAGCCTTCATTATGAGAGTGGCTATAGCTTGACCAGTGACACTGTCTTCATACTCCTAGAACCCAACAAATTCTTCTCTGACATTTCTTTCTTTGTCGACAAACCTTAGAACGAGTGGTAGTTGTTCCTTGTTACTGCTGTCACTTGCCTCATCTGCCAGTAGGGAAAATGCACCTGCCTCATTGATCCCTGCAACGATCTTGTCTTGGATGTAAGTGCCTAACACTTCTAAGATTTCATTTTGGATTGTCTTAGAGTGGTATGTTGCATTTCTTGGGCCGTTGGCAAAATGATTTGCTAGCACTTTATCGCCAGCTTCCACTCTGAAATTCAGCAGTGCTTGAAAGTTTCCTGGGTTGCCTGAAGCTTCGTCTATGCGTGACGAGTCATCGTGGTGGCCTTGTAATGCTATGTTCTGTTTACCACAAAGCACAACAGTTTTTATGATAGATTGTAACTTCTGTCTCTTAAGTTTGACGGTGTTACGATAAATATCAATGAGCTGCTGTGAGATAGAGGGCATTTTCCCTTTCTGTAACCGAACGAAATCTTCAGCAAAACCAACTGCTGCCTTGTGAAATTCAGAATTAAGCTGGTGTTCCTTGAACTTCTTGCTTGTGGATACCCAGTTCTTTAAAGGACTCTTATATAGTCTGTCAAGGCAGTCACTGTTCTTTCCTGTCAGGTGTCCAAACAAAACACAAAAGCAGCAAAATGCTCCATCCCGAGACGCAGAGTAGACCAGCCACGGAAACTGAGTAAGCCACTCAAAACAAAATGCTCTGTTCTTTCCATAAAAATGGGTTTTAGGGAAATTGTAGCTTCTAGATGGTGTCCAAGAATTTTTTAGAAGTGCTAGCTTTCGGCCATCAGATAGTGATTGTGCTATGTTATAGTACAATCCCAAATCGTTCACGTGTTTGGTAAAATTCTCCAACGGTATGCTGCTATCAGTATCCATTGTAGTGGCTGAAAGAAATAGACCAAGAGGCTTTTACAATTTATGCCAAGTTGACTAAGTGATTTAATCATTTAAATATTGCACTTGACAAATCGGTTTCATAATAACATTCAAACATATAACAATAATATTATTTAGTGCAATTTTTTAATACATGTAAAATAACTCAATTATGGAATTACAAAGCAGCTTACAACGTCTTTTAATAACTCTTCTAGTATATAAATAAGGAAACATCACATTCTGACGCCAGAAGACGGCATTCGTCATCTCTTTCATCGGTGCCGTGAGACATTTCCATGAGTTGTAGATTTTTGCACCTATCCACAATAAATCTAACATCAATTGGTGACAGAGGTATTCCTTTTACACAACATAGGCATGCAAGGCATGCAAGAGTTTTTTTTTTGTGAAGTCTCAGAGATAGGAGCATTCATGGAGCTGTTTACAGTAGTGATTTGGTTAATTTGACAAGTGTTTTTTGGTTGCGATGTACAGCAAGAAAGAAACTGGGAATTTATGATGTCCATACAATGTTACATCGATAATGGTAAGATAGCTAAATAGTAAGCCATAAAATGTTTGACTGAACAAACTACAGTAATCTGACAGGTCTCCAGATTAATGTAGATACCTTATTTTTTTTCTTTGATCCCGGAGTTCTTTGATAAAACCCACACTGTGATTGGTGTGACACGTGCACATGCATAACTCCCTCACTCGCCAATCACATAGCCCTTCCAATCCCCAAGAGGAATTTTTGCTCAAACATGCTCAAGTTAGGAGACCTTTTCGCATTTTATACGAGTCGTAAGTTTACCCTTTTTACACAAGAACACTACTTCACCAAAAATAAAAAGAAAGAGAAAAAAACCTCTCTGACACATTGAATGTCTGATTTAATTAAATTGCACTTTAACTTGGTGTCATGCAGTCTTCAAAGAATATTTGAGTAGTTTTGATACTCTTTACCTTTAAAAATATCGGACTGAAAAGAACGTCATAAAATGCCCATCAAATAAAAATAACCTGCTACTGCAGAGACTTAAAAACCGTCCAGAAATGAAAGCTTTTTTTGTTCAATATCCTGGGAACAATAGCCCGATAACTTGTCAGCTCTAACTGAATTTACTCCCATATAAAAAACAGAAGTGTTAAGTTACCATAGAAAAATGCGAAAAAGCCCTGGAGTGTGAAACAATGTTCAGAAACTGAGCTTTGGTCAAATGACAAACGTTCCATTTATCACAAGGTAGACTATGCCAGAGACCATCTGTCTGTGAAATGTTCCAACATCTCTTTGAAACCTTGCTTAAAGTTCCGACAATTTCCTTCAGGCTAAAATGCCTAAAAACTGCTGCAAGCAGTTCATCCGGTATGTAATAAACTGGTTTGTTTAACAAACAGGTTTAAGGTGTAGGAAACAACTGAAGAAGTAATGTTGACTTGCTCAAAGCATTTTTAAATCTGGGTGTAATCATACAGGAACGTGGTTGATATATTCAATTATCGTAGAGTATGATATTACATGTCAATCAAACATATATCGGATATTGGTATTATTATTACATCTCCCTTTTTGAAAATAAAAGCATAACACTTAGCGAGATTAGATAACTGTGTCACGATCAAGCTAGACAAAAGTAACGACACTTCTGGTAGAAAAGAAGCGGTACACAATGTAGTGCCCAGTGTTCAGACATTCATGACATAGTCCTTGAATTTGGTGGGAAGAGCTCTGGTTCTGGTGGAAGTACGTCGAGGAGGGGATGTTGGAGACTCATCAGCAGGTACTATGGCGGGAGGCTGGTTTTCCATTGTGGGAGGTTCAATGTTTTGAGGAGTCTCCGTGGTGTGGTTGATGTCGTTGTCCAGCGGTGGTGATATTACTGGATGGAGTTCTCCAGTCTGCAGCAGGTCCATACGGTTGCGGTGGTACTGTTGTCCGGTGGTGGTTGTGACTATGTAAGATCGTGGTTATGCTGCTTTCTCGTTAACTATAACAGGCATCCAGGTTTTTCCTTGGCGCAAACGGACAACTTCCTGTGATTTCAGAGGTGTCAAGGGTCTTGTCCCTTGGTGTTAGTAGTACACTTGCTGCTGCTGGCAGGCTTGCAGTTGGTGTTACACCTCAGTAGCTACCTTTGGTTTCAGGAGCTCTTGTGCTACTGGGATGATAGTTCTGGTGGAACAACTCATGAGAAACTGGGATGGGGACGTCGTTCCTGTCACTGGTGTGTTTCTGTACTCTAACAGGCCAATGTATGGGTCACTTGTCTTGTTAAGGATTCTCTTGACTGTCTGTACAGCTTTCTCACTGAGGCCATTCGCTTGGGGATAGGTGGGACTTGAGGTGGTCAGTTTGAATCCCCAGTTGTTTGCAAATTGTTTGAACTCTTTACTGTTGTATGGCATGTTATCTGAAATCAGCTCTTCAGGGATTCCATACCTAGCAAAGATTGACTTCATGTGTGTGACAATGGTTCCTGCAGTTTTGTCACGCATTAGGCTCATCTCGATGAACTTGGAGTAATAGTCGACAACAACTAGGTACGGTTTTCCTTTGTGTTCAAATACATCAGATCCGAGCTTTTGCCATGGAAGGTCTGGTATGGCGTGTGGAATCATCCATTCCTTCTGATTCTTGTGTCTGTGTGTCAGGCAGGTCTTGCTCGTGGCATCGGTGTTGTGGATGTCGCATGACATCCCAGGCCAATAAACGATGGCTCTTGCACAAGCTTTGCATTTTTCAATTCCAAGATGGCTTTCATGGATCAGGTCAAGAACGTCGCTCTGCATGGCTTTTGGAATGATCAGCTGTCTTTCTTTGAACAGAAGACCATCAGCTTCACCCAACTCATTTCTGATATTCCAGTATGGTGCGAGAATAGGTTTCAAAACCTTTCTGTGCGTTGGGAAACCTTCTGCTATCTGCTTTGTCAGCATTTGTTGGGCTTCATCTCTGGTGGTTTCATCCCATAACTGTGTCAACTTTTTTGGGCTGGCTGGGATTTCTTGGATGAAGCTGTGGACCATGACTTAGATATCATCACTGAGGTCTTGTAGATCCTCAACAGTTTCATTCAAATATGCTCTTGACAGTGTGTGCAATAAACATTAGCTTTCCAGGTGCAAAATGTACTGTGAGATTGTATCTTTGCAACCTGATCAATAATCGCTGAATTCTTGGAGGTGCCTGAGATAATGGCTTTGTCATTATCGCCTCAAGTGGTTTGTGGTCGCTTTGCACAACAATGTCGTTTCCATAGACAAATTGATGAAATCGTAAGCACGCGAATGCGATCGCCAACCGTTTTTTCTCTATTTGAGCATAGTTTTGTTTAGCAGTTGTTAGCGATCTCGATGCGTAAATGACAGGGTGTCCTTCTTGGAGGAGACAACTGCCAATTCCACTTTGTGAGGCATTGGTTTGAATCGTGATTAGCTTGTCAGGGTTGAAATATTGTAGAACAGGGCTGTTTGTGAGTGTGTGTTTCAGCTTATCGTCGCGGATCTGTGTTCATTGTACCACACCCATTGCGTGTTCTTTTTCAGCAGTGCACGAAGAGGGGCCGTGATTTCCGACATGTTTGGAATGTATTGTGATAGGTAATTGACCATGCCAAGTAGGCGTTGCAAATCTTGTTTGCTTTGTGGTTCCGGCATGTCCATGATTGCCTTTATCTTCTCAGGATCTGGCTTGAATCCATCGGTGGTCACAATATCGCCTAGATACTTGACTTGATTGACGCGTAGCTGAACTTTGCTGCGGTTAAACTTGATATTTTGCGATCTTGCGCTTTCCAGTACTTGCTTCAAGGCACTGTCATGTCCTGCAGTGTCTTTACCAGCAATGATGATGGCATCATGAACTGCAAGAACTCTGGGAATATTGCTGAAGTTGTCATCCACCATTCGTTGGGCGACGTCACTGGCTACACAAATTCCGAATGGCATTCTGTTGAATTTGTACCATCTAAAGGGGGTGTTGGAGGTGCAAAGATAGGACGATTCTTCGTCCAGCTTTTTGTGCCAGTAACAGTTGCTCCTGATGACCGAGAAAATTCGCTTTCCATTTAGTTTGCTGGATATTGTTTCAGCTGATGGTGGTTTGTAATGTTCTCTTTTGATCGATTTGTTTAGATCTTTTGGATCTAAAAAAAGTCTCAGTGAGCCATCCTTTTTCTCCACAATCACTAGGCTATTGACCCAGTCAGTTGCTTTGTTGACTTTACTAATGACATCCATTTGTGTCATCTCTTCGAGTGTTTGCTCGAGTTTCGTAATAAGGTTCAATGGAATCTTTCTTGGCGGGTGTATTGTGGGTTTTGCGTCATCGCGTAGCTCGATGTGAAATTTCCCATCCACTAAACTGAGTCCGATAAAGACGTCTTGATATTCGTCGAGGATGTCAGTTTCTTGTAGCGTTTACTTCACTCACATGGTTGTTAATGCTTATCAGTCCTAATTCTTGGCATGTTTGTAGACCAATTAAGGGCTGGGCCTTTCCAACAGCAACAATAAAGAATTTAGTATCAATGGCTGTACCATTTTGCTTGATTTTCATGGTGCACGTTCCTTTAATAGGCACGCGTATACCACCATAAGCCGTCAACTTGACTCTGGTTGACTGTAGGCTGGGCTTTTTCGTCAGCTTTTCAAAAGCATGTTCCGGAATGACACGGCACTGTGCACCCGTGTCAACTTTAAAACAGATGTCTTCATCAGTCACGTTCGTGAACAGTTCGTTCTGGTCATTTTGCAAAGAACCTAGTTCTCCGAGGAAGAGATCTTCGTCTGTGTCGGTGTCCGGCTGCTGCTCGACCTCGTGGAGTTTTCGGTTGCCAGAATTTGGGTTTTTGGTAAGGCACATGTGGGCAAAATAATTTTTGCCCTGACATTTTTTGCATGTTTGACCATATGCTTTGCACTCTCTTGGCTTGTGACGGAAACCACAGCGACCATGTCTTTACTTTGTTTTGGGTCTGTTTTCGGGGGCGGATCTCTTGGCTGTTTTGGAGGCAGATCTCTTGGCTGTTTCAGCTTCTTGTTCTTGCTGTTGACGTTTACAGCTGCCGCTTCTATAGCTGTGTTTGTTAGCACTTCGGTTTGAGTCTTACTTGTTTCTGCAGCTCGTACGTCGTTGATGGCAACTTCAAGGGTGAGCTCATTGTTACGTAGGAGTCGCTGCCTTATGTTCTAACAACAACAAGCTTTATTACCAAATAGAAAAAAAGTTAAACTTTACAATATAATGTATATTGTTATCTATTCTGCACACAATCCTGTCTCTAATAAGACTGTCGTGAAGGGTGCCAAACTCGCAGGTCTTGGCTTTTGTTCGAAGGTCTGTTACAAAGACGTTGATTGGTCTGCCATTTTGTGTACAAGAAAAGAACTGATAGCGTTCGTACGTTACGTTCTTTTTTGACGAACAGTAGGCCTCAAA